TAATTAAAGATCAAGTCCGGAAAATATTCTGCTGCTCCATCACTTAAGGTCCCTAAGGCACCAAAACCAGCAAAAATTGGAAAAGGTGGTAGGAGACCACCTTTTTTCGGTATAGGTAAGATACGAGGGGTCTTGATGTTTCTCCAACCTCCTGACAGTGATTGATTCTAATAAGAATGCAGAATAATTTATACTCAATTGAAAATCAAGTCCGAGACATATTCTGTTGCTCCATCACTTGATGCCCTTAAGGCACCTAGACCAGCCAAAATTGGAATAAGTAGTAGAAGACCACCCGTTTTCGGTATAGGTAAGATACGAGGGGTCTTGATTTTTCTCCAACCTCCTGACAGTGATTGATTCTAATAAAAATGCAGAATAATTTATAATTAAAGATCAAGTCCGGAACATATTCTGCTGCTCCATCACTTGATGCCCCTAAGGCACCAAGACCAGCCAAAATTGGAATAAGTAGTAGAAGACCACCCGTTTTCGGTATAGGTAAGATACGAGGGGTCTTGATTTTTCTCCAACCTCCTGACAGTGATTGATTCTAAAAAGAATGGAGAATAATTGATAATTAAAAATCAAGTCTGGAACATATTCTGCTGCTCCATCACTTAATGCCTCTAAGGCACCAAGACCAGCAAAAATTGGAATAAGTGGTAGGAGACCACCTGTTTTCGGTATAGGTAAGATACGAGGGGTCTTGATTGTTCTCCAACCTCCTGACAGTGATTGATTCTAATAGGAATGCAGAATAATTTATAATTCAAAATCAAGTCTAAAACATATCCTGCTGCTCCACCACTTAATGCCTCGAAGGCACCAAGACCAGCAAACATTGGAATAAGTGGTAGGAGACCACCTGTTTTCGGTATAGGTAAGATACGTGGGTTCTTGATTGTTCTCTAACCTCCTGACAGTGATTGATTCTAATAGAAGTGCAGAATAAATTATAATTGAAAATCAAGTCCGGGACATATTCTGCTGCTCCATCACTTGATGCCCCTAAGGCACCAAGACCAGCAAAAATTGGAATAAGTGGTAGGAGACCACCTGTTTCTGGTATAGGTGAGATACCAGGGCTGGGACTCTGTAACGAATAGAGATATTTTCTCTATCTCTATTGACGTCTCCTCTCTATTGATTTCGACCAGAGAGAAACAGATAACGATCTCTATCCGTTACAGAGTTCTAGCCCAAGGCGTCTTGATTTTTCTCCAACCTTCTGACAGTGATTGATTCTAATAAGAATGCAAAATAATTTTAAATTAGAAATCTTGTCTGGAACATATCCTGCTTCTCCACCACTTAATGCCTCTAAGGCACCAGGTAGAAAACCACCTGTTTTCAGTATAGGTAAGATACGAGGGGGTCTTGATTTTTCTCCAACCTCCTGTAAGTATTCTTAACGCGCAGGTTCTTATTTGTATTTTTTTTTTTTTCAATAATTTTGCAACATTGCTTTTGACGGTTTATCGAAATGGCCGGAACACATCCATTCACTTGTTCAATTAAATTCAACCCGTCTCACGAACCCTTTCGTTTTCGATGACAAGGAATCCCGAAAATTAAATTCCTCGTCCCTCTCGAAACAGGGCAGGGGATTGAACCGCTACCGCGCTAATTAAGCCAATCTTGCTCTTGTTTCGCACTTTGGAGTTAATTAACACCTTACACGTGCGACAAATGGTGGCTTCATACATTTTCTACCCACAAGTTTGGATTTATGTTTCCTCCAAAAATAACTTCCATACCGATTAAGGTAACGAGTTTTCTAATAATGTGAATCTAGGACGCCATCAACAGGTAGTTTGTGATTTTTTTGAATATGAAAGCAAATAATATTCTTCCATTGGTAATTATTAAGGTGGTTACTATTATCTTCACGCCATCGCCTTCTTTTAATGTCCATACACATAAATGTAAATTAATACCTATGTTTGCATATCGTTATACATTTCACTTCCCATGTTGCCTCTGTGGAACTATAAATTTGAATTGTACAAATACGTCTGTCTACCTCGTATAACCTTGTCATTTTGGTTATAGGGTAATTAACAAGTTTATGTTAGTAAGGTAATTGTCTGTCTGGAATATGTTCTAGAGAGGAATGAACTATAATGTGACTGCGACCGGTAATGGATTTTCTAAAGATATTTCGTTAATGCATTTTCGAATCATTACCCACAGACTAAACTTTCAATATTGTTAATCAATATTAATTAATAATGGATCTAATTATTGTCAAGTGCTTTGTCCGAACTTCAAGGCAAGTCTTTGTATCTACCTGAAGTAATTACGCAGTTGCTAGACTTTGATTAAATTGAATGCAAAGTTCACAGGTGCATGGATAATTTATTAAAGTTCGGTCTGTTGCACCGGAAGTTATTTCAAGAAAAAATATTTATTTTTTTTAAATAACTCCCATCCTCTCCGGTTAGCAATTAATAATCCCCCTTGCATGTTCGCATATCATGTAAAATTCATTTTTCAATTTTAGTTTTTTATTTGTGTATTTTTCATACCGAGCTACTTCGACGACACATTTCCACTCATTTATCATTCTAAACGATTGCCCTGTGAACTAAAAAATTCGATTTAAAAATGGATGTGGTGTTTATTTTTGTAATGAATTCCCGCAAAACCTACTGTGGAGAGGTTTTTTTTTATCAGAGGAAGTTGGGAGAGTTAATTTCAAATGAAGTTTCGAATAACAGAGCAAAATAAAAATTGAAACCAGTCACGAACGTTTTTATGAAACAGGCAAAAAATTCAATTTTATGCACTTGTATGATGCGTTATACTTTTGAAAGGCTTTTTAATGTGATTCAAATGCATTTTTCTCTGTTTGGGGAAGGTAATTCGAAAAACTAGAGCGAATGGATTTTTGCAAATTGGCAATTACGAATTTTTCAATAAAAGTATATTTTTGTACGTTCCAATTGACAATTTAATTGCCAACATTCCTCCTCAACAACCTTCAAGATGATCCTGATATCCACTCATAAATAACAGAGTCGTGAAAAACAATCCACACGAACCCTGGTTGAGTTGCCACATCTTTAAAGCTTTTAAGAAGAAAGGCTCTTTGTGGGACTAGAAACAGAACCACGATTCACTATGAGAGATATAGGACACAAAATAACCGAGTAAAACACCTAATTACTGAAGCTAGAGTGAAATAGCCACAACTAGTGGAAAAGAAATTCTTTCCATACCTATGTATCAAGACTACTACACTCAAGAATCAACTACGCCTAACTGAAGAACCAGGCGGGAGACTTGGTGTTTCACCCTAGCTTGGTCTCAGAGAAGACATCAAAATATGAACAGCTGACGATAGATGTCCATTTAGCCATAGGAATCCAGAAAATTTCTACAATGCACTGATGCATAGCCTAAAATCCAAGCCGCAAGCAATTAAACGCTGCATACTCAAAACTTAATTGTTCAATACCAAATTTTCGGTGCCCGACTAAATGAATATTTCACACAAAGTTCGAGCCATTGATTTGACAAAACCTGTCTTAATTAACCTGCACTTTCAGTATTTATTTTATTGACAGAAATATTTTGTATCCTATCAACCACGCAACAAGGAAATATTTGTGTTATTCCGTTCATTGGAAAAGTTTCGAAATTTATTTGTTTAATCAAACATAAAGAGAACTGCCGATTTTTCAACCGTGTAATAAATGAGGCACTCATTTTAACAAATAAATGGCGTTTGAGCTAATGGCCGAAAATAAATCACAAAAAGTTCGAAATAAATGGTTCCAAAGAATGGTTTGTTTCCTGAATTGGGAAGTGGTAATGTAGGCTATTAATCACAAGGATACAACCAAAAGGGTAAAAATTGAATAATGAATATGTGCGAGTCAAAAACGATTAAATTGTGTCAACTAACTTGGAATGCCAGAGTCCGAAAAGTGGACGGAAAATTGAATTGTTGCAAAATTCTCTCCTTTTTAACTCAATTAGATTTGCCAGGATTCCATTAGCGACATAAAACAGCTTGTTGAATGCATTTTTGGGTTTCCTTGTTCTTTGTTTGGAAAAGGATTTCTTTTATGAACCTCTGCATTGGATCTGTAGGAGTAGTGTCTGAACAATCCATCATTATGTTTCCAAAATTAAACTTATGGACGTCCCCTGGTTTGAAAAAATAATCCTTAAGATCTATATTTTATTATTATTGTAACAAAATCAATAGCAAATTCATATTCTCGATTCAAGCTCATCTTTCGTGGGTAAATTTTTATTTTTATAGATTTTTTAAAATGTGACTCTAATGAAATTTGCAAATACGAACGATCTAATCTGTTCGAGGGTAAAAATCACTTGAAAGCCAGAAAAGTAGGTACTAGTCAAACTGTTGTTCACTGTGATTTTGTCCAATATCTTATTTTTTAACCATATTTTCATGTGTCTTCTTCTTCTTCAGCCTTTAGACGTCCGCTGCTGAACATAGTCCTCCAACTTTTTCCAGGTCGATCTGTTTTGAGCGGTGTGCATCTAGTTCTTCCCGGCTAGCAGCTGTAGGTCATTCCGCCATCTCTGGGTCTCCACTGCATTATTTTCTTGGTCCATTTCACTATCTCAACTAGCTCTACCTCCCTATCCACTTTGCTCCGGTGTGCTGAGCTAACTGTCGATCCGTCTCAACATGTATGTACCATTTAGAAAACTTGTTATTCTGTAGTTTACTGATTGAGTAAATAAATAAATAAATAATTATCGCCAAAAACAAAAACCCTTGGTGCTAATATCCGCACGCCCTTAATAAAACCCAATGCTGTTTTTCCCTAAATCCCTAAATATTAACGTATATTCTATTCAACTCGAAGTAGCTTTTATCCAATTCAAAGTTTCGTCACAGCTTGCGGCACTCTCAACAATAGCCGTGAATGTACCACATATAGCTTTTGGCTGCTTTAAAATTCCCATTGTATCGAGTTGTTTCCCATTTCTCATATTTCTTTATTCTGTTTCAGGCATTATTGGCACGGACTGAAATGAATATTTCGTCGCGTAACAGGATATTATAATTCAAATGTAAAATATTATTCTTTTGAAAATGACTATGGAAAATGAAGAGACACCGGCCCCTGAGCCTGGACCTAGCAAGATTCAGGAAGGGTAAGTTGTTGTTATACTTGTTTTTGTATGAAACTGTTTATGTTTTTGGTATCTTAGGGAAAATACACTTGCTGAGCCCAAACCGCCCGAGTCGACGTTGAGCTCTCAAAGGTGAGTAAAAATCTAGAACACAGTACTAGTTGGCGATTTTGGTCTTCATAGAACCGACTATTAAACTAGCAAGTTCGGGTAATTGGTTACACAGAGTTACAATAGGTCTTTCATCGGCTTTCTCCCCTTGGAGTAAAACTGCCCCTAAAGCGTATCAGTTCTGAGTATATAAGCCAATGTACTATCAGCTTGTCGGAGTATGGAATTAGTACTTAAAAGTTGTTTCATAAGGTCGAAAGAATCTTGTTCTTTCTTCTCCCATTTCCAAATAGCTTTCTTCTTGGTTAAGGACGTTAAGGGCTTTGAAACTTTTGCAAATGAAGAAATGAATCGCCGGAACCAAAAGCATGATTGGACAAAGGACAAAAGCTCTTTCACATTTTTGGGAGGTGGTCTCTCCAGAATAGCAGTGATTTTAGAAGGATCTGGTTTGATTCCTTGGGGTGTAATTACGTGTCCCAAATACTTCACAGAGGAGCACACAAAATGGCATTTGGATCGATTGAGGTGAAGCTTGGAAGCTACAAGTCGGTCAAAAACTCGTTGTAAATCAGAAAGGTGTTCTTGGTAAGTTCTGGATAATACAATCAAATCGTCTATATAAGCTAATAGGGTCAAATCTTTGAGTCCGGATTTGAATCGATCAATGAGTTTTTAAAAGGTGGAGGGTGCATTTTTCATTCCAAATGGCATCCTCGTATTTCTCGATTGGTCATGGACCGGTGTCATTGGATGTTTTCTACCGAGGTAGAGGGTGCTTTGGTGTCTTAATGGTTACATAAGTGTATTTTGCATAACTTATTAAAAACTTACAAAAAAAAAACTCCATAAAGAAATTAATAACGTTCAAGGCAAGGCCTCTAATAAAAAGAAAATGTGCTCGGAGCATTATTAAAAACGGTAATTGCTTCGAATAACTTGCCTTTTATCCAGTTAATTTCATAAATAAAAACCTGGATGAAAATGAAACGACGATCTACAAGCAGCGGCTAATTTAGTCAATAATAATTATTTTCTAGATTCTGTTATGCCGAGGACAGATAAATCTAAAAATAAATTATCGATATTCAAATTTATTATAAAAGAATGCTATGGCATTTTATATTCTTGGTCACTATTCACCCATGTGTACTATTTTGATGGAAATTTATTCAAAGTTAGACCAAATAGAATATTCTGTTGTCAACGGTGTAGAATTTAAAATATACTTTCCCCATTTACTGTGTATATATTCGCAAATTGAGTTCGTTTGCATTTTAAAGTATCATATTTTATAGTCTTCTTCATACAAAACTACCGCTTCGAGGAATGCAACTTAAGAATAAACAGTCTAAAAGCGTTTCTCGGTCTTATTTGTCTCAGTTTAATTAAATTATACATTTCCGGAATCATCAAAATTAGGAAGAAATGCAGTTTCCTGCCTCGTGATTCCTCCGTTGCTTTGAGTTTAGTCTGTATGAGTTCACACAGAGTGCTCTCGAACTTTCCTCTTGCTATGATGACTCAGTGCAAGTCCAGGTTATTTAGTATTCGTAGTAGTTCATCTACCATTAGGCTCCACATCAGAAGTGAGCATACTCCGCGCTGGTCAGTTGGAACAGAGTTGTCTTAGCGGACCTGCTTGTTCTGTAAGCGTGCTATATAAAAGAGATTTTAGAGCTGGATAGCATAAGCGCAACTAGGCTCCAAATTTGAGGGGTACTACAGTACCATTTTTTTTTATGATGGGGTTTGATGGAAAGGAAATGAGACGCCTAAGAAAAGTTAGTTTCACAAAGATTTGTACTTACGTCATCATTTGCCTTTTTTTTGAAAAATAGGTTTTTTTATGTCTGAAATTTCAAACAAACATATAGTTCGTTGCATGGCATGAAGGTTTTTACTTACATCATCGATGACGTCATAACTTAGAGAAAAAGTTAAGTCATAGATTAATTCATGGAGCACCTTTGGAATTATTGTTTTGTAATACATTTTTTAACTTAGAATAGAATTTATTCAATTATCCGAAAATATATAAATAAATTTATCCTGGAGTGATTTCTCACAAATTTTCCTCTAATGAGCTCTTCACTTTCCTCTTTCTCCTGTAAAAATTTCCAAATTTTCATGTTGCCAGTTTTCCAAAAAAAAATTGAAATGTGAAAGGATGAATTTTGCTTAGAAAAGTCAATTTTCCAGAACTTTCCTATCGACTATCCTTAGAGTGATTTTTCACTAGAAAATTTTGAAAATTTCCTATAATGAACTCCTCATTTTCTTCTTTCTTCTGGAAAAATTTCACAAGTTTTGCTTTATTAGTTTTCCAGAAATAAATTAAAATGTGAGAAGATGAGTTTTTCTTAATTTTACTTGAAAAAATCATTTTTTTCTACTTGCGTGCGCAAAGTAATCACTTTGCACACTCATTTGCATGCGCAAAGTTGAACTTTGGGCACGGAGAAACTCTTTGCGCACTCATTTTTGTTACGCATAATTACCATAGTTATACTTGATTTTTCAATGTTCTGATGGTTTCTGAATAAACTAATACTAAAAATGAAGGGTTTTAGTTGAAATTAGCGCTTAGCTAACATGATGTTTCCTATCAAAGGTGTCCAAATTGGACCAGCCTGTACTGCTAGGAATTTGTAGAATTTTTGATATATTTGAGAGACTCTCATGAAAACATTTTAGCTGGTATTTTAGAAATTCCAGAAGATGTTAAAAGATTTTTGGGGATTTAATTTAAAAGACATTTTGAGGAATTCCAATAGATTTCAAACGATTTTTGAAGATTTTGATCTGATTGATTTTTCTAATATTTTAACAATTCAAAGTCTACTTTTTTAAGATACTCGTAGAAAAAATATTGTTCCTAACACTTGCGCAAAGTTTCTTTCCCGCACTCAAAGCTTATCCGAACTCCGCTTCGCGTCGTTCGTCTAACTGCTTTTTCGTGCGGGAATGTATCACTTTGCGCACTTGTTAGGAAAATAACTATTTCTAAATTATGACGTCATCGATGACGTAAGTAAGTACAAAAAGTGCAAAAAAAATACATAAAATAATTTGGTTGCACTAATTTTTTATAGTGTTAGGTAGTGCTATGGTGGGATGCCGAATAGGAGTGCTAATTTTTGCTTTAGGGGTGCTTAGCACCCCCAAGCACCCCCCTAGTTGCGCCTATGCTGGATAGAGTGAACGTAAAGTTTTGATTTTTTTTGAGGCATTTCTCTACAAAACTATTTAAAAAAAATCATGTGCAGCGCTGTACACGTGGTAGAAGTGAAACTTCTTAAAAACTACCCCCCCCCTCATACACCTTCTAAACTTAGTCAAAACGTGATGCGTCTTTCAAAGTCACCATGTGTCCTATGTAGGTACTCTCAATGTAGGTACTTTATCAACCTCCTACCAAACTGGCCTTTCTCTGGGTTAGCCTTCAAGTTGGCTTGTCGCAATCGGTGAAATACTCGGCTCAGGTTATGCAGGTGTGATTCAAACTTGTCCCCGAGTATAATTATGTCATCCAGATAGCACAAGCAGTGCGGGTCCATGTCTGGACCAATGACGCCATCCATCAAGCCCTGAAAGGTCGCTGGGGCGGAGGGTAAGCCGAACGGTATTACCTTTATCTGAAATAATCCCCGAGACGGAACGGTAAAAGCGGTTATCGGTCGGCTATCTTTTAGCGAGCGGCATCTGCCAATATGCTTGTTTGAGGTCGATGCTGGAGATGTATCAAGCGCGGCGGAGTTTGTCCAGGATATTGTTGATGAACGGCAGAGGATATGCATCTTTGCGAATCCGTTCGTTGACTTTTTTAGATCCACACAAAACTGGTAACGTTCATCTTTCTTATGAACCATCACGATCGGGAAACTACATGGGCTGGACAATAATACCATCACGGAGCATTTCATCAGCCTCAAAGTTGATAATCTCCTGCCTACGTGGGTTTTGTGGACAGTACCGTTGTTCCACTGGTTCTGTGTCAGTTAAATGGATTTTGTGTTCTACCAGTGGAGTCGTTCCAGTGATTTGTTGGAACAGTGAAAGCTCAATGTTAAATTCCTTCAACTCGATTTTCTAGCTGGCAGTCAGTGTTAAGGGCAAATTCTAAGACTTGATTTGGTTTTGCTGGTGAGAACACTTGTTCCTTATTTTATGTGACAGATGATCACGCAAGTTGATGACGAAATCATGTTTAGATAAAATGTCCGGTTGAATTGGCGTAAATGGACGTGGAACTGTGCTACGAGGCTGGTGAAGCCCAGTTCCAAAGTCCAAACATAGCCGGTTTCGGTACTGATCGATTGGCCGTTTGCTAATAGGGTCCTCCTTGGCATGGGAAGCGGTCCTTTCGCAGTAGTGGGCCAGTTTGTCGCCGATAAACGAGCTAGTAGTCTCTGTATCCAGCAAAGCCAGAAATATTTGCTGGTCAACGGTAATCGGAACATACGGTCACAAAGTTCCGAAGATTCTGGATTGATGGGACGAGGGCGGAACTCCGTACTGGTCCCGTAGCAGTACGGCGCCGATCCAATTTCCCGCGGTAGTGTCGGGATAGAACCCCCTCAGTTCCACAACGAGAGCAGAACAGTTTCTGTGGGTTCGTGCAGGTATCCCGAAGATGTCCGTTTTGGCCGCATCACCAACACGTTCGGTGGTATGCAGAGTCGTTTTTCGGGGTGCGGTGTTCACATTCGGTACTCGGACTAAGGGGGTAAGGCTGGCTGACTGGGTTGGACGGTTAACATGAGGGGGTCGGTCTATGGAAAGAAGATTACTGAGGACCGAATTCCGCCGGGATTCCTCAGGAGCGTTTAGCTCCTGGTGTAGTAGCTCATATTCTCGCACCATCTTTGAGAAGGATTGAATATCGTGGAAGTCGGATCGGCGGATGTAATGTCGGTATTTGGTACGCAAGTTGCGGTATAGCCACTGGAGTTCCTGGACTGGGAAAATTCCATCATGCCTCCTAATCATGGTCATGTAACGTAAGCTATCGCGGACTC